TTGTCAGTTCCCACTCTAGTTGCTCCATTCATTACTATGAGAAAATTTCACCACAAAAACCGCGATATTTCGTGAACGATTCGGCGAAATGTTCCACAAAGTAATAGCAATCCGATCGGGAACAATCCGCACGATATATTACTTGTCTTTGTAGTGCAAAAACTGTGGGAGGAGTTAGCGTGGCAAGTTTGGCTATAATAAGAATAAGAATATATACTGTATGTGAGATAACAATAAGCGTTCTTGCAAGAACACTTAACTAGAAAATCTACAATTTCTGGGGAAATTGTGTGAAATGTTCTTGCCTGCAGCATTAGTCTACAACTGGAGTGGGCGGAGTAGCTTTTGTCACTCTGCTGCCTGCTCACACATCTGGGTTCCTATGGCAACTCACTCTACAGCAAGGGCAGAAGAGCAGTTATAAACAAACTGCTCCAACTTGCTCACTTCACTGGCGCTTGCCATCTTCAAACGGTTGTAGTTTTAAAACTATAAATCCTACAGTGGAAAGCTTTATATTGCGAGAATCACAAGCCCCAGACCTACATTTTGATGCATAGTATGTCTCTGAAATATTAAACATGAAGGCACAGTCGCAGTTTAGAGATTGCCCTTCAAATTTCAGGTGTTTAGAGTGGAGATTCAATGAATGTCAATGGGCGGCGTGAGTTGCAAACAATTGGTCATATTGTGAAAACTATCAGGACTATGGCTTAGTCCTGGTGGCAGCAGGGATAGCTGAACGTTTTGATATAAGATTTGTGTAGGTGGGCTTGAAAATGAGGGAGTGATGGCAGTTTAGAAATCATGTCCTGATTTTTCCTTCCACACTCTAGCTTTTTTCTGCTGCCACTCTAGTTGTGCCATTCATTCCTATGGGACCAATTTCACCACAAAAACCGTGATATTTCGTGAACCATTCGACGAAACGTTCCACAAAGTAATAGCAATTCAATCAGGAACAATTCGCACGTTTTGATATATTACTTGTCTTTGTAGTGTAAAAACTGTGGGAGGAGTTAGCGTGGTAAATTTTGCTATAATAGTAAGAATAAGAATATATATGTGAGATAACAATAAGTGTTCTTGCAAGAACACTTAATAAGAACTAGAAAAGATACAATTTCTGGGGAAATTGTGTGAAGTGTTCTTGCATCCAACACTAACCAATTGATTGATCAAAGTTAAAAAGTGCACATGGCAAGCTTGATAGAGTGAGAAATGCATTTCAACTTTTATTTTTCAGCTCACACTCTAGCTTTGGTCACTCTGCTGCCTGCTGACTCACCTTCGGTTGCTATAGCAACTCACTCTACAGTAAACTCAGAGGAACGTTTATAAACACACTGCTCCAACTTGCTCACTTCACTGGCGTTTGCCTTCTTCAAACAGTTGTAGTTTTAAAAGTATAAATCCTACAGCTAAGAGCTTTTTATTGTGAGAATCACAAGACCCAGACCTACATTTTGATGCATAGTATGTCTCCGAAATATTAATACCGAAGGCACAGTCGCAGTTTAGAAATTGCCCTTCAAATTTCAGGTGGCTGGGAGTGGAGTTTCAATGAAAGTCAATGGGCAGAGTGAGTTGCAAACAAAAGGTCATAATTTAAAAACTATCAGGACTATGGCTTATCCGTGAACATTGTTAGTGGCAGCAGGGATAGCTGAACGTTTTGATATAAGATTTGTATAGGTGGGCTTGAAAATGAGGGAGTGATGGCAGTTTAGAAATCATGTCCTGATTTTTTCATCTCACACTCTAGCTTTTGTCAGCTGCCACTGTAGTTTAGGTCATTCCTCCATTCATTTCTATGGGACCAATTTCACCACAAAAACGGCGATATTTTTTTTAACCATTTGGTGAAACGTTCCACAAAGTAATAGCACACCAATCGGGAACAATCGGCACGTTTTGGTATATTTCTTGTCTTTGTAGTGTAAAAACTGTGGGAGGAGTTAGGGTGGTAAATTTGGCTATAATAATAAGAATATATATGTGAGATAACAGTAAGTGTTCTTGCCATGCAACAACACTTAATTATTCAGATTAACTGGTTCCATTCCAACATTATCACTAATTTATCACAAAGTAATATACTAGCTCTATCCTACCTTTAGAACACTTCTTAGTGATGCTGTTGAATGCTCATTTTCAGGGAAAAATAAAAAAAACAAAAACACTTCCCACTCCAACCTCTTATACCAGTTCTATAGTTTTTATTAAAAGACTCATCTTAAAGCACCAAACACCTACCTAAAATTCTGGTCATATGACATGCCAGGATTCTGGTCTTCTTTCTTCTGCTATAAAGTATGAGAGGGACCATAATTTCCATATGACCTTCCATATGATGTGGGTGCTGATCATCTGATGGAAGGGCGCATTACTGAGTTCTTACAAGGTCCCTCATCATTTCATAACTCCAAGTAAGGGGAGGACTGAAGGACAGCTTCAGACCACTGGCCGCTGCTACCATTTGAGGTGTCACGAAGATCACATTACAGCAGATTCAGGTAAGTTTTTGAGAGTTTATAAAAAGAAGCATATTAGGTAGGTGTAGGCAGACAGACCTGTTTTTCTTATTTTTGCCTGCTGTTGGGCTTTTATGTCCCCACCTTTTCTGGGTAAAAAGTAGACACTTTGATCTCTTTCAAATTAATCACATCAGTGACAAGTCCCATTTTTACCTGCCAGTACCAACCTTGTCTTCAACAGAAATACATTTATCTCATATCTAAGTGTATTTACACGTTTTTACTATTCTAGGTTAGATTAGGACCAACCAGAAAGTGTTTAGGGTAACTGAGCTAATCCTCACAGAGGGATGAGGTTTGGCCTACCTCTGTGTTTACAGGCTATGATTATGGAATTTACTCATGTACTCCTGTTCTTTCCTTTTGGATGTATTCATCCACATGGGTTATTGATTTCTTATTTATTTACTAAAATTTAAATTGTGGTGTCATTTCTCCAACATATTAGCCAAAAGACACACATAGTGACAGGCCTCCATGTGTATAGGCCTCCTGTTATGCCGATACTAGAACTGTCCCCATTAAAACACCAACCCAAAACTAGGCCTTTACAGAACCACATAGGTCCAGAGTAGAGAAGGTGAGGAATGAAGGAGTTTATTGGATAGCACATCTGTCCTGCTGGAAGGTAGGGATGTTTCCACTCTCTACACCCATGAACTGATAAGATATTTTAACAGAGTCTTGTACCAACACACTGTGGCACTAGTGGAAGGTAGTAAAAAAAACACAAACACTTTTTAAAAAATATTCAGAATATATGAACACGTCTTGGTCCTCCCCTTCCCCAAATATTCACTATATAACAAATGGGTTCTTCACTGGTTCTTCCACTTCATTAAAAAAAAAAATTCCATCCAACATTAAATATAGAAAAGGACAGCTTCCAGTTACAGAATTAATTAATGTCATAGAGATACACAATAATACTTGAGTGGGGACATTATGATCATTTCAGTCCTTGCACTCTGAATAGCTGGCAGAATGTACCAAACAGGGGCGGACTGACAACTCATGGGGCCCCTGGGCAATAGGGGATCATGGGGCCCCTGTGTCCTTGCCCAAACTCAAAGAAGCCTATGAAAAAGGTACCAGGGGCATCTCATGGGGCCCCCTACTGACCCCAGGCCCTCGGACAGTGCCCAAGTTTCCAAATGGTCAGTCCACCCCTGGCACCGAATTGAGATTTTAGGAAACTTGTAATGGGGGCCCCTTGGATCCTCACCTTGAGAATCTAAGGCTTTATCCTGGAGTATGGACACCCCATCTCAGTGAATGAGCATTCCGTATTTATTAATGTTAAGAGTATAGATGCCATTTCCTGTTCTGGTGTAATTGGCCTGGCCTAAGCAGGTCCTAATAGGGGCTAATAAGGAAGAATGGCACCATCTAAAGGACAGTCAATCTCTCCTCATACTTTGTCAGGTATCATGTATCTCCCCCAGCTCCTTAGGTGGCCATATTGATTTGGTTGGCAAATGAGTTTTAAATAGAACTGACTTTTAAAATACAGCCACTTACCTGTCCCTCGGTCCAGCGGTGACCTTACCACAGCTGGTTTCACCGGACGTCTTCTCTCCCTGGCGCCGACATCTTCAGTGTGGGCATCCAGCTGTGACAGCTTGCGGCTTCACAGCCGGGTGACCACTGCGCATGCACAAGAAGCGCTGCGCTTCGTGAATGGCCCTGTAGTCTTCTGCGACCTGTCATGTCTCCCAGAAGACTACAGGGAGGGGGGGCACAACTTCCGCTTCCAATTGCCTAGGCGATCACAGTGGAAGTGGGAGCTGTCAAATTTAGGTACCCGCTCCCCAAAGGTGCCAATCCTGAATGGGGAGTGGGGGACAAAGGCTTAAAGCAGAACTTCCCCTTTTGTGTGGAGCTCCGCTTTAAGTGCACTATAGATTTGTTAATGCTGATTCACATGCCTGTCTGTGTGCACATAATCACAACAGGTTTCGCCCATTCCTATCTGGATTGACAGCACTGCCTCTATTGCTGAAACCCTTCCAATGTATACTGCAGTGTCTGGGAGTGGGAGCATGTAAAGCATAAATGAAGAAGGATTTGAGTTAGTCAGGAATGGTAAAGGAAGTGCTTTTTTTCATTTACAAGGCTTATTCATCACATAACTAGATTTGGGACTTTTTGGACTGCCATACAGGAATCTTTGGATGCACTTTAATGTAGTCAGTAATGCATAGAAAATGCTGTGACCAACTCAAATGGAACTTGCTAGTGGAGTAATTCTAAAAAGGCACTTACAAGGGAAGTTTTTTTTTTTAAATAAAAGTTAACCTAAAAAAAAAAATTAAGGGCTTTTTAATGTTTACAGATGTTTTATGAAAGAGCAATTGACTCGCTTTCTTGATCTCTTGATTTCTCATGCTGTAAAGAATTGGATTAATTAGTGGGGTTAATGCTGTATAGAGCAGGGATTTCATTTTATAGCCATAAGGTGTTTCATCCCCTACCGGGAACATATAGATGCCGATTATCGGTCCATAATAGGTGCACACGGCCGCCAGGTGGGAACTGCTCATGGAGAAGGCTTTTCTTTCTGCCATCCCTACACCTGATCTTTACAATAGCAATAAATACATTTATATAAGATATGATAACAAGCAAAAAGGGTATAAATGCCAAAAGAATTGTCAGGGAGAAGTCTACACCTTTTACTTTGGAAGGGTCCTTGGAAGCAATTTCTAAAATAGGAACAAAATCACAAAAAAAGTGGTCAAGGACTTTAGAATCACAAAAACCCATTTGACTTATTAAAATTGTTTCAGTAACAAGTAGAATGATGGGAATAGCCCAAGGCCAGAAGACAAGGTGAAAACAGAGTGTCTGGTTCATAAGGTAAGAATACCGAAGCGAGTGACATATAGCTAAGTATCTGTCAAAAGCCATGGCTGTGAGAATCAGAGACTGTGAAAAAGATGCAACGCAATGGAAATAGAATTGGAAGAGGCAACTCATTTTAGAAATAACTGTTCCACCCAACCAAGTCACCTCTAATAATTTTGGCATGATGTTAGAAGTTAAAAGAAGGTCAGTTAAAGCCAGGTTCCTGAGGAAGATGTACATGGGGACCTGAAGGTGGTGGCAATATGACACAAATGTAATAATCAGACAGTTTTCAGTCACCATCAGCAGATAAAAAACAAGGAAGAGGAAGAACAACAGAACCTTAATATTGTAGAACTCATGAAATCCAAGCAAAAGGAACTCAGAAAAGTCTGTTTCATTGGTCTCACACATCTTTTATGAATGCTTGTTTGTAACCTAAAAGAATAACGGAAATATATTAAAGGCTCTGGTTCCATCATTGACTTGTTAGACCCATTATGGTTGTCACAATAAATCTTTTGGCAAATCTACTTTATTATATTACATTGTCAGGTGTGTTCCTGGATTTGTACAAGTCCCAAGGGACCTTGAGGAACCAGAAGATAGTGGTATGCGTCACAGTGAATTATGGATGTGGTTAAAAAGCCTATAAATGTTATAGGCTGATCCTTCTCAACTTTATAAAAGCATCCTATTTAAAATCTAGTATTTATTGAGTGCCTCCTGGTGTGATTTACCTATTCCTAAGTACCCTTTGACATGGGTACATTTATTAACTATGCCCCTTAATTGTGTAGACATATTGTCCAAATCATTATATTTTTTTAATAGCTACTTAGTAATACGTGTATTATATATTCTTTACTGTATTTGCTAAAATTCCAAATGGAGTACACATACCACTGGCTTAGAATCCTATGCAATAGGCATTGCACTGTTATTTAAAGTGGACCTAAACCCTAACTGGATGACATTTGTGTATTATAAAGTAATAGCATGTTTTTCATAAAACTGTTTTCAACTTTTTTCATCCATTGTTGTATTTCAGTGCTGTTGATCTCATGCAGCATCTTTGGATCCACTTCCTCTTTACATGTGGTCCAGGGATGGCTGCATGGTGTTTTTCAGGACATGTTTTTTGATGGTGACAATGGTGGACCGTGCCTGCATAATCTGCATGAAATACCTTCACCAGGGGCTCATGTGGCAAGGTGACAATGCAGGAGCACAAATGAGAGATAGTTGTCACCCCATAACAAGAAATGTTAGAACAAGGATCTTCATGAAAGGATCGCTAGGTATTTTAACCACCCTTAGGTTCCAGAGTAATTTTATATTGTTTTTATTGTTTGTAGTTTACCCTAACATATACATATTTTTTCTTGGGACAGATGGGGCCTTACTATGATAGTAGATTTGGATACATATACAGTATGTTTAATTTTTAGGATTTTATTAGGAAGAAACAGTGAAAACATTATTTAAAGTAAAACTATAGGCAAAACTTTTTTTTCATTTTGGATAGAGTAAGGAAGGGCTATAACCCCTTTCAGATTTTTTTTTTCTCATCTGTGTCCCATTGTGGTTATTTTCCTTCACTTCCTGTCCTATATCGAAACAGAAAGTGAGAGGATATCCCTGCAAATTAAGGGAATCCTTTGTGAACCCCCATGTCATCTGAACTAGTGACCCCTAGTAGGGACACAGACAGCAATAAAAATTGACAGGTGTTCTAATCCATTTCCCTTCTATCCAAGACAAAAAAAAAAGTTTTGCCTTTAGTTATACCTTAGGTGTTTTTCTGTAATCTTTTCCAATGCAACTGCCAGCTATTTACTATACAATTTAACCTTTAAAGCCTTCTAATTAAAAAGATACCACATAAGTGTGATTTTATGTAAGGTTTGTTTTTAACTTTAGGAAAGCTTTTTAGAACTTTAGGGAAAAAAATCAGTTTGCATAAATTTTCACCATAACATTAGGGTTAGATCTAGTAGGATTGGAGAGGACACAAATCAACACTATTTTTTCTGTTAGAGGTTTATTATTGCTAAAAAAGTTTAATGACATTGTGTTTTTGCTTATGTGAGCATTTCACAATTATGCAGTATAATGTAAATATCACTTAGATCATCAGATGTTATTGCTGGAAAGTTGGGATAAATATGTGGAATTAGTTTTTTAATTGTGTTACAGGTGAAACTAGAAATTAGAATATCGTGCAAAAGTTCATTTATTTCAGTAATGCAACTTAAAAGGTGAAAGTAATATATGAGATAGACTCATTATATGCAAAGCAAGATAGTTCAAGCTGTGATTTGTCATAATTGTGATGATTATGGCTTACAGTTCATGAAAACCCCAAATCCACAATCTCAGAAAATTTGAATATTACATGCAATCAATAAAACAAGGATTGTACATAGAACAATATCGGACCTCTGAAAAGTATAAGCATGCATATGTACTCAGTACTTGGTTTGGGCCCCTTTTGCAGCAATTACTGCCTCAATGCGGCGTGGCATGGAAGCTATCAGCCTGTGGCACTGCTGAGGTGTTATGGAAGACCAGGATGCTTCAATAGCAGCCTTCAGCTCTTGTGCATTGTTTGGTCTCATGTCTCATCTTTCTCTTGGCAATGCCCCATAGATTCTCTATGGGGTTCAGGTCAGGCGAGTTTGCTGGCCAATCAGGCACAGTAATCCCACGGCCATTGAACCAGGTTTTGGTGCTTTTGGCAGTGTGGGCAGGTGCCAAGTCCGGCTGGAAAATGAAGTCAGCATCCCCATAAGTCAGCATCTTGCTTTGCATGTAATGAGTCTATCTCATATATTATTTTCACCTTTAAAGTTGCATTACTGAAATAAATGAACTTTTGCATGATATTCTAATTTTTTGAGTTTCACCTGTATATACTGCTCCCCTGTACTTTGCTGTCTGTCCTGACCTATTCTTGTCTGCTGACCATTCCTCCACCTATAACATGTCATCAACTGACTTGTCTGCTGGCCACTGCTTCTGTGCTGTCTGTCTTGGCCTGACTTGTCCCCTGAACACCACTCCTATACCACCTGTTTTTGAGTTGTTGCTGTTCTTCAGTCTGAGATGATTTTCTTACCCAGCCAAACATCTTCTGTGTTGCTTCCATTACTGAGAAATACTCCTTTCTACAAATCAGGTTTCACTGTGCTAGGTAGAAAGACAGCTCTTACCAAGTTCTTCACTTCTACAACCAACAGGTACATAACACTAAGAAAGCATTAGGTGATTTTCTCTTTAGCAGTTACCATTTCTAAAATACCTGTTTTAGATGGGCTGACCACTTCAAGAAGAAAGAAAATATGACATTCTTTACTTATTAGAGGCCATGACACTAGTGAACAATTTAAATTTAGCCTCCAAAAAGGAGCACCACGGCTGATGTAGCTGGCAAATTTCTTCTTCCATAAAAGTTGTTGGTCAGAAAAGTTCATGATATTTTGTAACCTTTTTGTACAAATCTTTGATCATTAATGTTCCTAAGAGTACCAATGTTGGAACATGACGATGTACTTCCACAATTTTTTTTTCCACAGCTTTTTAAAAAATGGTTGCTTCTCATGGGTAACCTTTTTTCTACTTTCCACAGATTTTGTAGTACAATAGTAAAAATCTGGTTACATTTTTTTTAATCATGGATATAGGTTTTCACAGAAATGGAGTAAAACAAAAGTTAGTGGAAATGTATGTAATTTTAATTCCAATATAAAACAAGACTTGCGTGTCATTTAAAAAAACTTAGACTTATCCTTGTAGGCAATAATGAGTACTTCTGACCATCAAGCTGTTGTCAAATATGTGATCATAATGATATCAAAGAGTGCCAATGTTGGAACAAAACAATGTACTGCTTTCTCCACAATTTTTCCCACAACTTTTTAAAAAATGATTGCTTCTCATGGTAATCCGTTATCTACTTTCTACAGATTTGGTAGAACAATATATAAATTTTTCATGTAAAAATAGTGAAAAACTTGTTACTTTTTTATTCATGGATTTAGGTGTAAAACAAAAGTTAGTGGAGATTTATATTATATTGATTCCAATATAAAACCAGACTTTCATGTAATTTTGTAAAATAAGTGAGACCTCATGTAGACCTATCCTTGTAGGCAATAATGAGTACTTCTGACCATCAAGCTGTTATTGGGTGATTACAGTAAATGGACTGCTAATTGTTTTATTTTATTTGAAGTCAATCCATATTTGAAATCTGAGCTTGAAAAAAAGTTGGTTTAAACCCTCAGTCTTTCATTATTGGGGTCTTCATTTTTCAACTGGTCCATATGCTATTACGTACTGTTTATTTCCACTACTTCCATTACTGTTATTTTTCTATTTTTTGTACTCTTTACTAGTGAGTACTGTTATTTCATACAATAATGTTAGATGTTAATGTATAGAATATCACCTTGTGTTTTGATTAAATGTACAGAGGTCAGAGAAGAATGGGCAGACTGGTTGGAGATGATAAAAAGGTAACAGTAATCTCTGAGGAATGTTTCCAACGAATCTATTCCACAAAGAATTAAGGCAGTTCTGAAGGCAAAAAGGGGTCCAACCCGGTACTAGCAAGGTGTACCTAATAAAGTGGCCGGTGAGTGTATGTCTCATGGCAGTCCCTAATCAGTCTTTTTGTAACAGCTTTTATAAATCAGTTGCTTCTCATGAAAATGATGTAAAACAAAAGTTAGGGAAAATTATTTGTAACTTTTATTCCAATATAAACCCAGACTTTGGTGTCATTATAAAAAATAAGAAAGAATTGTGTCATGTAGAGCTAGCCTTGTAGGCAATAATGACTACTTCTGACCATCAAGCTGGCATTGGGTGATTACAGAAAATAGACTACTATTTGGTTTTAAGTGCATTTAATTTGACAATACATGAGTAATATTGCTTCACATATGCAAAGTGAATAATTGTAACATTCAGTCCCAATATGGAAAAATAAAATGCCCAGCTGTTGAATACTAATTGGTGAACTTCGTGCAAAAAATGACAGGTGCTCTTTTGTGCTCAATCGGTGCCCCACATGGATGTGCACTCACCGTTAGCTGTGGACCACCTATCTCTAGATTGGTCTTAAGTGCCTGGTTAGGGACTAGCCCAATGCGTGATGGTAAGAATGGCACCAATATTCATTCTTGGGAATCATGCCATCTGGCTGATAGTAACCAATAGGATGATGACCAGTGTGGATATAAATGACAGTGTAGTTTCAAAAGGGAACCAAGATGGCCACCGGGTCCCAGCGTGCATTCCAAAGCGCGGAAAGTGCGTACTTCCTGATGATGATCTATTGATCTTCCGTTGACGTCATTTCCGCCCCTTCAAATGCACGCTGGGATGCCATCTTGGTTTCCATTCAC